CAGACCTATCAGCTTTGTCCCTTATGATTAGTCAAGTTAACCCTCATTTAAAGAAAAGATCCATAAAACGTAAATTCATATCCATAAGGAAAAAAATCATTAATTATCTGGTCAGTGAGGCATCGGTAGCGGAAAGCGAACTCATCTCAATTAAGTCAACATTAAAATTCAAGTCTCTACTTCAGTGGAATATTGATGGATTTTTTTATCGCGTTGCTATATTCCAACATCTAATTGGTGAAAAATCTCATGTTGTAATATGCCTAAAGAAAACTAATACTAGTGCGCGTAACGCTATCACTAGTGACGAATCAGAAACAGAGTGTCAGAGTGTCGCAGGCGATCTAAAAGTTTATTTCAAAAATAAGATGTTAAGTGCGTAGAATCAGGAGTGTAATGACTCTAGTTCGAAACTCAGAACCATCAAAAGTGACATTTTTTTATGAAAGTCCACAGCCAAAAGTAAAATATGCCAAACTATTATTACACGTTTACGACTTGGACACTGTAGTTATACTCACGCCTATCTCTACTTAAATAGTAAACCTTAAAATTGCGAAGCATGTAATACACTAGACAGTATAAAGGACTTCTTTGTCCAAAATATGCAAATCAAAAACAGTTTTAGAATTTGCCAAATAACCTGAAAGCACTCCACAACAATAGTTTAGTTGACAATGACGTATAATATATAGACTAAGCAATTCCCTATTCTCGCTATATAATCGAGTGTCCGAAAAATCTCCGCTCAATTGAGTCTATAAGAGAAATAATTATTTTGATAAAATAGTATGGCATTTTACTAAAATAGTAAGTAAATAACTCTCAACAATTTAAAATAAAATTTGCTTGTGACATAAAATATGTAAACACAAAAAATGGAGAAAATGTTTTCAAGATCAACTTCGTGCATCTTCGTATCAAAACAATAAACAATAACAAAGGTACAGTCTATTCCAAACCCTTCTTTCAATGCGTCACTAATTTTGACGTCATATAGGATTTTAGGAATGTCGAGAATTATTGCATGATATTTTAGTTAAATCTGACAGTTGCAGGTAGGTAGGTAAATTGTTTGAAAATACTAACCTGGAGTGACAATTATCATTTTATCAGTTGACAATGTGAAAGTACTGTCACTGTCACGATCGAGACCATCTGATTCAAATTATATTTATGTGCATCATCGATTGGATATCTATTTAGCATATTGTAAACTCCAACCAATTATACATCCGTAAGTAGAATTTGCTTCAACATTCGAATACCCGTGAACAATACATAATTTTTTAAGTACTATGTATAATAATAACAGACTCACGTTCTTTTCTGTCACTTCTAGCTTAATGCGTTAGAGAGAATTCTAACAACTATGACGCATTGAAAGAAGGGTTTGGGTCGGACTGTATTCATGTTGTGGACACTTTTTAATGCGTTCACCGGGTCTATATATTATACGTCATTGATCCGTATAGATCACTAGTGTCTAGCTAGACCCTGACCCACTATTCTGTGCAGACTTGCGCAGTTCATTTGTATTCATTTCTGGAGGTATCAATGAGGTTTATATGTATTGTTGGTAGCGACCATTTTTTTATAAATTAATAATATAATTACTTCAATCAATCTATTTAACCCGTTTGATAAATTTAATAATGATTAAATTATAGGAATAACCCTAAAATAATAGTAAATAATTGCAAATCAAAATTAAACGTTTTTTAAAATAGTTTTAAAAAGTATTTTAAAAAATATGTTACAGGATGTTGACTGACTTTATATATCAATTACCATGATACCAACTTTCTTATTTTAAATGAAACATTGGTTGTAGTATAAATTTTTTGGATTCTGCGCAAAATTCCCAGACCTTTTATATATTGCATTTTATAGTTTTAACTTATTTTAGTATACAGGGTGGTTAATAAATAGATCACTTTCTGCGTATCTCCTTATGACTTTAATAGGTTCTATACCTAATTTTAATAAAGAAGAGTGAGTTTATTTTTGTATCTCAACTTGTTTTTAATAATGTATATAGTACTCTAAGATATGTACCTCTATTCTTTTAAAAATAATATTATGTCAAATAAATGAAACCTGCCTATATTTTTACCAGGTGTAAAATGGAATGAAACTAAGTAGGTATCTTACAGGCTATATATTTAAAAGTTAATATAGAAGGGATTGTGCCTTTAATACATTGTATATTAAATACAGTTAAATAAAAGCATTGTAATCCAATATATTAAAGTTCTTTGAATTTTGTATTGGATCCAATAACTAAATAATATACCTGGTTTTCCATCTAAAATAATAAAGTTGGCATCAGTATTACATGGCATCATCTGTATATAACATTTTATTGGAAACATATAATGCGCAACAAAAAATATTAGAAAACCAGAGCTTTTCGAGGAACTATTCATCATTTAATAAATAATTTTTATATAACTGTGCTGAATAATGTATTTCGAAACGGGGAAATTATTCATTTATATATTATAAAGAAAAGGTCTCTAAAACGTTTTTGAGCAAGCCAAAAAAATCACATTATAACGCATGAATGAATCAAATATATAGCACCTTTTTTGTAGATGTAATATTCAAAAACAAACTCAAAAAGTTATTTTTATAGAGAGGGATCTATGTAGCTGTGGCTATGCTGGACTTAAATAAAACAACGATTAGATAGAAAAAAAATCACAAATTCGTGATATGTATGTAATATGTAAACTTTTTTGTTTATTGTTAGGCTTGGTTTTGGATAAGATAGATCTCAATGTTTTTGTTATTTTAAATTTAGTTGAAACATTAAATTTACTTTCTGTCCTTTTAAGTTTTTCTGATAATCCTTTTATATATGGTAATGTTATTTTCCTCGAATTTTGTCGTGTGAACGTAGCATGATTCCTTTGTTATATTGTTCCATTTCCTTTATTTTGGAAAATTCCTTACTTTTAAATAATATCGGATAATCATTTTTTACTAAAATAGATGTTAATAATTATTTTTCTTTTAAAAACGAATTTTCATTACAACAGACAATTTTAGCTCTATCATATAATGATTTAATAAGTCCCTTTTTAACATTTTGTGTTGTGATTTGATTTATATTTTAGACATCCGTCCGTATGTGTTGGTTTTTTGTATACAGGAGTCCCAAATCCACTATTTTCCTTTGAGGTTAAAACATCCAGAAAAGGTAACGAGTTATTATATTCCTTTTTCATTGTAAATTTCATTGACTCCTTGCCTTACTCCTCTTACCCTTTATTTATATTAATCAGAATTGTGTCCAACACATCTACATATCTCCAACATATTGTGGGTTAAATTTTAACTAGAAATGTTTGTTTTGAGGTCTTCCATCAATATATTAGCTAATAATGAATTTGAGGCAGACCTCAAAAATTTTGTTTATACAAATCATTGTTTAGATGAAAATAAGTGTCAGTACATTTGTAGTAGTAGTAAGTACATTTGTAAATAGACTATTTATTTATATAAAAATTTACTTAGATATTTAATATTACATATACAAATCAATGTCATGTATCAAATTATATTAACATTAAAAAAATAACGATAATTTTAATAAAATTTGTGATTTTTTTCTATCTAATCGTTGTTTTATTTAAGTCCAGCATACGCCAGTCTTATACAGATTACTCTTTATAGTAATAACTTTTCAGTTTGTTTTTAAATAATACATCTACAAAAAAGGTGCTACATATTTGATCCATTCATGCCTTATAATGTGTTTTTTTTGGCTTGCTCAAAAACGTTTTAGAGACCTTTTCTTTGTAATATATAAATGAATAATTTCCCCGTTTCGAAATACATTATTCAGCACAGTTATATAAAAATTATTTATTAAATGATGAATAGTTCCTCGAAAAGCTCTGGTTTTTTAATATTTTTTGTTGCGCATATGTTTTCCAATAAAAATGTGTTAACAGAGTGTGATGCCATGTAAATAATACTGATGCCAACTGTATTATTTTAGATGGAACACCAGGTATATTATTTAGTTATCGGATTCAATATAAAATTCAAAGAACTTTAATGTATTGGATTGCCATGCTTTTATTTAACTGTTTTTAATATACAATGTATTAAAGGCACAATGCCTTCTATATATTTTAAATATATAGCCTTTAAAGATACCTACTTATGTACATTTCATTTCACACCTGGTAAAATATAGGCAGGTTTCATTTATTTGACATATATCTATTTTAAAAGAATATAGGTACATATCTAGTACTATATACATATAAAACAAGTTGAGATACGAAAATGAACTCACTCTTCTTTATTGAAATTGGAATAGAACATTTTAAAGTCGCAAGGAGACACGCGAGAGTGTCATCATAACACCTGTATCCAAATAGTTAATTAAACTACATAACATGCAATATCAAAGTCTCGGAATTTGGGGCAGAATCCAAAAATTTTATAATATAAACAATGTTTCATTTAAAATAAGACAGTTGGGATCATAGTAATTGAAATATAACATCAGTTAACATCCTGTATATAAAGTAACAAATTTTTATTGGAAAAAATGCCGAAAGAGTATTTTCTAAAATACTTTTTAAAACTATTTTAAAAAAACTTTAATTTTGATTTGCTATTATTTACTATAAATTTTGGAGTTATTCTTATAACTTAAATATTATTAAATTCATCAAACGGCTTAGATAGATGGATTGAAGTAATTATATTATTAATTTATAAAAAAATGTTAGCAAGCAACAATACACATAAACCTCACTGTCACATGCACAGAATTCTGATATGCACAGATATTCTGCACAGAATAGTGGGTCAGGCTCTAGACACTAGTGTATAGATCGGGCTCAAAACTGCTCAATTTCCTTATCACTTAGCATTAAGCATCTATGCCACACAGTCGGGGAGTACAATTTTCGCTTGTTTGGTGCGATGCATTACTTTCCTGTTATTGTTGCTTGTAAAATAAAGATTTTTTTAAAATGGATAATCCTGAACCATCAGGAATAAAAACAAAATGTGCTGTGGTCTGCGTCATTTTTGGACAAACATCAAATTGTCCTGACAATGTGGTAAGAACGTTTGAACAAGTGATGGAATTTTGTGCTTGGAAGAGTCTAAACAAAAAACTTAGGAAGAAAAAGCCAACGTTTACCGTTATCGCTGACGAGGTTGTAATAAAATTGGAGAAAATATGGTAAAAGGCTTTAATTCCAGTAGTTTCACGTACAAGAATAATTCAACTTTTAAAATCCTACCACGACAAACACACCAAGCTTATGAAGCCATTTAAGAGCAGGCAAAACAGTAAGTCTTACCAAAATAAAATTCTTTGCATTCAGAAGAAAAGTAAAACTATTTTCGATCTTTCAGCATGCAAATTTATTACTCTACTGAATTACCTTTGTAGTAAATCTTAAAAAGTGATGAATAATATTAATCTTGTACCTGAATGCGATTCTTCTTTAAGTTCAGAATCAAATAATTTTATTAATGATGTTACGTTTTAAGATGATAATTCTGTACCTTCAACCTCTAAATATGTGAACAAAAATCAGATGAGAATTCCGTTGAAAAATTTTACAAAAACATGTGACAGACGGCATATCTGAAAGATCTGCATCTGCTTTTGCATCCGTTGTTTTAACCGATATTATATCTATTATAACCGGGAATAATTACCTCATAGGAGTCTTCTAACAGTATCGACAAAAATAAAGTTAGAAGAGAAAGTCTTAAATTTCGTTCCAATATTCAGAGACTACAAAAATATTCGACGATTAACCTACCTGAGCTTTACTTTAATAGACGCAAAGACAAAACTTTAGCTCAAGTAAGAAAAAGTGCAAAGGTTTACAGTCAAACGATCATGGAAGAACACATAAAACTTGTGCAGGAGCCAGGATGCAAATATTTAAGACATGTTCTCCGCTGTCCGGTACATCCGAAAATATCATATCTTTCATTATTCAATCTCTAATAGAGAATTTAATCGCATTACAAGAAATTAAAGCTATTGGATGTGACGAAACAGTTGTAAATACTGGGGTTAAGGGTGGTATAATACGACTGTTAGAAGAACATTGCAGTCGAACAGTCAATCCAATTAAAGGTATTTTACCCACGCACGTAAGCAAATATCACTGCCACACACAATGTATAGAACAATGTATCAAGCTTGTGACAGAAGATTCTTAAACAGTTTGTGGAGCGGATTCGAGGGATGGATTTATCTATCTATTTATATAAGGATTTCTACAGCTGTCGCCGCCTTTCTTCTTTCAGCCAACGTCTCCAGTCCTTTCTGTTCTGCCATTCTCTATCTCTAAGGTCTCGTCTTTCTATGGATGGATTTATAAAAACGCAAATTGATTCCAGAAAAACTCTGCCTTACTTTACCACTAAATTAGAATAAATCTTTAAATAGAATTATTGTTTTAGCATATTTTTGTAATATTTCTATACTACATTTTTAAATTTATAGATTTTTTTATGTTTATTTTTATTTCAGTATTAAACAAACGTTGGTGACATCAGGGAGACAGAAGGAAAAGTTGGGCTATTTTGTTATAAAAAAATGTTGAAGCATAGTTTTCTTAATTAAAATTTTTAATTGCCTTATGGAACCAGAAAATATTTTCCAGTTTAAACCCAATTTATTAATTCAACTTCTACATTCTAAATTTCCGTTACAAAGAAAAATGCAACTGTTAATGAAAAATATATTTATTTTTATTTATTTTTACGCACAACAGGCCGTTAGGGCCGAGGGCATTTTTTTACATTACATAATCTTAATATTAACTAATTACAATTATTTTAAACAAAAATTTAACTTAAATATGTACATATAACATTTTTACCTACTCTGAAGGACCTGGTGTAAAATATTTCTCCATTTCTTCCTCCGCTTTACTAATCCACCTCGTACTGGTTCTACCTCTTCTTTTGGGGCCGATTAATTTTCTGGTTATTACTAGTTTAGGCATTCTTTTCGCTGCCATTCTTTTCACATGTCCCAACCATCTGATTCTTTGTGCCTTGTGTCTCAATATTTTCCTTTCCCATCTTTCCAGAGTATCCTCTTCCTTATTATTTAATGTCCATATCTAACCGGCATATGTTACTGTGGGTCGAAGTACTATTTTATATATTCTGAGTTTACCTTGTCTATAAACGTATTTTGAGTTCAGTAGGGCTCTTAAACTACCTATTTTTTATTCCCTTTTTTCTCCAAAAGGGAATGGAAAATATATTTCGTCTCAAAATAAAAATTATTTTGTGTGTTCATATTTTTTCAAAATTTTTAATTGTCTTGGGGAGCGCGGGGACAGAAGATATTTTTAAATTTCAACCAGATTTTACCAAAATAATAAACAGTTGATTGGGCAACTTTTGTGGGGTATTACTTTTCCATCGCGAAAAAAAAATTGTTTCGATGCACCATAATGAACGTACTTGCTCAAAGATATCGTGATATATTTGTATATATGTACCTTTGTTCTAATGACATTAAAATGCATTTGATCGTGTTAATCACTCTTTATTGATCGAAGTTCTAAGAGACATTGGCTTGGATGGTAGAGACGATCGCAGAATTGCAAATTTGTATTGGAATAAAACATCAGTTTTAGTAGATGGTTTGGAATAACATGCTCTTTATAATAAAAAATTTATTATTTAAAAAACAGAAAGGAATAATTGGAAAATGTTAAGTCATCAATAACTTCCGATGTGCGGATGACACGACACAGTACTCCTAGCATCTACTGCAGAAACAAACGTTACTTGATAGTGTTATTGAGAGAGGTAAAAAAGTAAGTCTAGATCTAAACATACTCGTAATAAGTAAACAACAAAAAATAAAACCGTCTATATATGTTAATAGTACCAGCTTTGAGCACATTAATCAATTTTTTTACCTCGGATATCAGTTAAACTACACACAAAATCACGCTAAGCGATCAACCCTACCCCTAGGAACATGTGTATACCAATATAAGAATGGGATCCACATGTCCGAAGATCAAACCGGTCACACTTCACTAGTTGAAGTGGTACCTATCTGACCCCCAGGCTTTTCCTCCACCCCTCCTCATCGTACGACTGACGTGAGGAGGCTATGATCTGAAAGTTACCTGAGATGCCCTGGGTAATGAGACATCTCCTGTTTTTAATGACTGTGGTTATGCCACCTAACTGTAGGGGTAGCCACATCTAGGCTTTTCTCCCTAATTACTTTACTGACTCTATTGATTTTACTCGGACTGCACTTCGGGACTGAAGTCCCTAACATAAAAAGAATAAAAATAGCGTGTGTGTTCCGTCCATGAAGTCGACAGCCTGGGCTGTCGACTTCATGTCCGGAAAGATATGTGTGTGCTCGGTCACTCAGCCGCCGATTTGGCAAAATAAATTTTGTTCTCCTCGCCGGCTGGGCACCCGAGAGGGTCCGGCCACCAAGCCGCATGTTTGCCGCACTTGGTCTCAGTGCTCGGGAGTCGCGAAAGGATCAGTATTCATTTGATCCGCCTTAAGGGCCAATTCCGCATCAGCGGTATATAGAAGGCCTGACGGGTCTTCTATATAGAAAATTGGTATGAATTACGTTAAGTTAAGTTGAGATAATTGAATTTAAGTTTGAAATAAATCTGCTGAATTTAAAAGAAAAACAACCATTTTTTTTTTTTTTTTTTTTTGGGTTTGGGGGTCTTCCTTGGCGATGGAACAATAAAATGCCTGCACAATTCTTACCCTTTTATTCTTACATGCTAAATATGTGTGCGGTGTGGTGGGGTGTGCATTGCAGGGTGTATATGGCCTCCACACACCCCGGTGTATATTGTCCTTAACTAAGTGCCTTGGCACCTGTACCCTCTCGCCAGAGTCCTAAAAATAAGATTTTTTTGGGGGTTGTTTTTCTGATGACTGCATTTTTTTATTTGACGTTTTTGCGACCATCTCATTCTTCATTTATTAGTTTGGGACCCTATATCCGGCTATTTGCTGTTTAGGTCTTCTGTGTAGTGTCCTGGTGTTTGCATTGTAATTAGTCAGCTCTCTTAGCATGCTACTTGGGTGGTTATTTAGTCCGTTAAAAAGTTCATATGCCTTTTTATCCATTGTATGTAGGATCCTTGTTTGTCCTGAGTCTCTGTATAAATTTCTCAGAGGTACATATTTTGGTAGATTTAGAGCATCTCTTATCAATTGATTTTGCGCTGTCTGTATCTTTTTCCTGTTTGTTTTACAGGTGTGTCCCCATGCTGCGGAGGCATATGATAGGACTGGCAGGATAATGCTATTAGCTATTCTGATTTTGGTTTTAAATCTTAGCTTGCTTCTTCTGCCGATAAGCGTTGAGAGCTGACTTTTCAGCGCTTTGGCTCTGTATGTTTGTTGATTGATGTGCTGTGTGAACGTGAGTTTTTTGTCTAGTAACACCCCTAGGTATTTGGCCTCATTTGTCCAATCTACTGGGGTGTTTCCGATCATTAATTCGCGGTTAGGTACACTTCTTCTGTGACTAAACATTACAGCCTGTGTTTTATCCGGGTTTAAGGCGATTTTCCATTTGATGCACCATCTTTCGAATCTATTTAGTGCTCTCTGCAGATGATTAGCTGCATGATCTGGATTCCTCCAGCTAACAGCTATTGCTGTGTCGTCAGCGTAAAGACTCAGCAGGGATCCTGGTTCTTTTGGCGTGTCGGCCGTATAGATGGTATACAGGTAAGGCGACAACACAGCTCCCTGAGGCACACCCGCTTCCAGGATTCCGACTTCGGACAGGGTTGCCCCTGTTCGAACCCTGAACCTTCTGTTGGCTAGGTATGATCCAAGGAGGCATGTCATTGCCTCGCTGTACCCCATGGTGTTCATTTTATAGATGAGTCCTTCGTGCCAGACCCTGTCAAATGCTTTACTGACGTCCAGAAATGCTGTTGCCGTGTACATTTTTTCGTTAAAGCCTTTCGTTGCAAATTCCGTGAACCGTAGAACTTGTAGTTCACACGAATGTTCGCTTCTGAATCCGAATTGCGCTTCTGGTATGGTGCCTAATGCTTCCGATTCATCGTTGAGTCTTTTTAGTATGACTCTTTCTGCTATCTTGCTTATTGATGATAATAAGCTGATAGGTCTATAATTTTGCGGAAAAGCGCCGTCTTTCCCTGGTTTCTTTATCATAATTATATGTGCCTCTTTCCATCTATCCGGAAAATATCGTAGTTTAAGCATGTTGTTAACGATGTTTGTTATGTAGACAATAGCTTTGTTGGGTAGATTTTTCAGTGCCCTGTTTGTGATATTATCAGGACCTGGGGCTTTTTTGGCGTTAGTTAGCTTTATAAGCTCTTTTATTTCTTCGGGGGAGGTATGTGTAATTCCTACTCTGCCCTTTCTTCTCTTTATTCTTCTGGCTGTTCTTTCTACCTCTTCTTCGAAATCTATGTCTTCGTTGGGGTTTTCATTATTTCTGCATGCTCTTTCTAGTTCGTCCTTTAGGACTTCAGCTTTGTCTATTTCCGTGTGGACAATCCCGTTTACTCCATGTAGTGGAGGTATGGGTTTCTTGTCCTGTCGGAGGATTTTTGAATACTTCCAGAAGGCGGATTTGTTAGGGTCTAGATCTTGGATATAGTTGTCCCAGCTTTCATTTCTGTGATTACGTAGTTGTCTTTTAACTTCCCGGTCTAGCTCATTTGCAATCCTTTTATCTTCTACTGTTCTAGTACGGTAAGCTCTTCTTCTTTTTCTGTTCTTTTCTTGGATTAATTCTTGTAGTTCGTGACTTATGTCTCCGAATCTTCCTTATTGTCTTGCTGTAGTTTCCGTTTTGGAGCTGGCATCGATAGCGTTAATTATCGTATTTTCTAGTTTTGTTACTGTGTCTTCTAGTTCTGTGATGTTATTTATTGTTGGAATGTTACCGATGTTTTCGCTCACAATTCTTCTGAAGTTTGACCAATTTGTTATTTTTCTTTTGTGGGGTTGCAAATAGTTTAGTTCTATTGCTCCCAGGGTCAGGACGATTACATTGTGCGTTGAATCGCCTTCATTTAGAGAGTGTATCTCGTATTGTTGACCCACGTTGTGTAGGATTGCAATGTC